AAAAATTTATTATTTTTGTTACACAAAGGGTGATCTGCATATTACACCTGATCTTAAATTTTAATTGGTCACAATACTCTAGCACCATAGTGCTATAGCCTATAAAATAAATCCCAAAAAATATAACGTGGTTAATTTTTTTTTATATAATACAAACCTGTAATGTATGGCACCATGTGCCTGTGCCCCGTCTCAAATAAATTATGCATAAGCAGGAGAATTTTTTACTATGCTTCAAAGTTAACATTAAGCCTGGCGAACAAACCAAAATACTTTATTAAAAATTAGGCGTATTTATACATAAATGCTAACATGATTAAATTTTATTATATAGATTGTGACAGCTTGTCACAACGTCACGTGACTACATGATGGATTATTTATCTTTTAAAATCGAAAGTTTGGCCAATACAAAATCAATATCGTCCTGAGATATATTTGCTATTGTTGTAGCTATAAAAGACCGAATTCTTTGAATCTTATCTACACCTATTTTATTAAAAATATCGTAAATTTGGTTTAGGCCACAGATAAACTAGTCTGAGTTTCTTTTCTTGCTATCTTAGGATATAAAATTTAAATAAATTCTTTTCTCTGTAAGGATTTTCTTTTCATTGTAAAAGAATTAAATTAAATTTTAATAAAGTCAGAGACATGGTCTCACCATTAATATTCAAAAAAAATATATATATATCGTAAATTTTCTGAGCTTTTTCTTTTGTCTTTCGAAGTAAGCTTTCACTAACTATTTCAGGAAGCTGAGTTCTAACCTCATTATTAACTAACCCTTGAGCTGTACGTTTGGGATTAGTTTTTCTGTAGTGATTGAAATGATCCTCTAATGCTTTTCCAAAATGAAAATAGCTAAGAATAACATCTTGAGACGTTTTTTCATTAATATCTTCAGAAGTTATAATTTTATTATATAGATCAAGAAAATTAACTGAGTCGGTATTTGTTTCAGAAGTAGATTCAAATTGCGAAGTTACTGTTTTTCTGGGATCATTAGTTGACAGTTCCTGAATAAGTCTTTTCAATATGGGAGAATCTTCTCTATTTGCAGATTTCTTTTTTTTATTTGATGATTTAGCAGAAGTAGCTTTACCAACACATTTAGATGGTAAATTACTTGTAGTGAAGTCAGGTATGCCAGGTTCTTTGTTTTGTGAATTATTTTCGGAGTTCTCTTTTATGATTATATCTAGATTCACTAAAGAATTTTTACCAAATATTAATGAATCTTGTGATCCTTCATCTATGCTCATACTTCTTTGTGATAGAGCCCGCATTAGTGGTGACTTTTCAATGATTTCGATTTCTGCACTACAATTATTGACAGAATATATAAACATAGTTTCTCTAAGGTTCTCAAGACAAAGACGGTGCACAGTATGACTACATGTTAATACAGTGAATGATTTTTTAAGTATGTGCAAAAAAATTTCTTCATTGCATATAGAACACAAATCTAGTTCAGGAACTTCAACACCACTTGCAATAGTTTCAGGAGAACCGTTTTTAAGAATATTCAATACGAGAGTTTTAAGGCATGTAATATTCATACTTGCAAGTTTTTGTTTATTGCTATATTTTAACTAAATAATGCGTATTTATAATATCTCATTAAATGAGGATGCTTCGCATCTAGCAATTTTCACAGATCAATATGTTTAGGCACAAAACACTATCAAAAAATTAGTAATTTCGGATTTGGCAATCTGTTCATTCACGAATTAATTAGTATGAGCCAGAAGAGTCAAAGTCTCGATCTAAAGGATTATTGCTAGATCTTCAGTAGCAATTGCAGATGATTTTTAGCTTATGGATAAGCACGGTTGGTATATTCGTGAGCTTCTTCAAAGTTAGATTGGGTCCTAAAGAAATCTGTCTCCCAATTACGGATAAAGATAAACAGCTTTTTCAAGAATTAATAACAGACCAGAAGGAGATGATTGATATTGTAATGAATGAGTATCGATTTTTACTTCATCATGGACATAACTATAAGGGCAGAAAATTAATACATATAATGTGAGTATATATATGTACTGAAAAAAGTGCTGAGAAAGTATTGATATTAACCGTTTTTTCCATTCCTCATCAGTGTCGAGCTATGATGAGGTGATTCCATCTTTCTCGAGAGAACAGTGAATTATTTCTTCACTTATTAATCTTTCTTGCACTGACATGTCCATATATTTACTAGGATCTTCTTCGGCCTCTTTTGTATAATCACACATTCTCATATCAGTCTGCATTCTATTACAGAATGCTATGGAATCGAGCTTATCTTTTTCAGTAATAGTAATGAACTTATCTGGATCCTTGCCACGCTCAATAGCTTTTTGCCTTAATTGTATTTCTTGTTGCTCCCTGGTTTGATATCCAAGTAGATATGATATTTGCTGGGAAGATACTTCATTACTGGTTTTTGGTTCATTGTTTATAGCATTGTTCACAGGTAAGTCAGGAGAGATTTTAGGAGATTTAGATTTATCGTCTGATGGTTTTACGTGTTCGATCTTTGGAGTCATGGATATATCAGTAGACTTAGATAACAAAGCAACTGAACTTTCATTTGATATAGAATCAAAAAGGTCTTGGGTCGTGTTAGTGATAGGAGCGAGTGATATATAATGTGGAACATCGAAGCTTTGCTTTCCCTTACTTTTTTTGATATGATCAGTGGTTAATGGTTCTGTTATCTTTTTTTCTGGTTCGAGAGATGTAACAATTTCAGATATAACAAATACAGGGATATCTGTGGACGTATTGGAGGATATCTTGGCTTGAGGTGTGTCAGAAAATTCTTTGATATCAATATCTGATTCGCGTAGTTTACTCATGATTTTGGATTGATCAAGG